CTCAAGTTTGACAGTTGGAGGGAAAAAAAATGTTGAGGGGGGCTGAGCTGCCTTGGTAGGAAACAGAAAAGAGGCTGGACATAATGCTGCATGCTTGGAAACCCAGGATCGGGGGGAGAGGCAGTAAAGGGTCAGGAGTGAAGGCCTGTACCTGCTATGTAGTGAGTCTGAGGGCTACATGACCCCACCCACCCCATCCCAAAAAAGCAAAAGATCAATAACCAGGACTCAGGAGGCAGAGATGGGGGAATCACTGTGAGTGAAGGCCAGCCTGGTCTTCGTAGCAAGTTCTAGGCTAGCTACAACTAAACAGCAGAACCTTGTCTCACTCAAGAAAAAAATAAAAAAGAAAGAAAAAGACTTTCCTATCCCACCAGTAAAGCCTAACACAGGAGCGGATCCAACATCCGGACATTCTCGCCACATCTTCCACCCCGCCTCCCCAGTCAGGGGTGGGTGGGAAAGGGTCTGGGAGGTAGTTAGACAGGGACTTTATTGAGACTTTCCCAGAGAGCAAAGGGGCCCTGGGAAAGCAGGGGGTGGGATGCCCGAAGCTCAGCGTGAGGAGTCTGAGAAGAAAGATGGAAAAATCAATGAAATGAGTTTCTAACAGTGAGGTAAAGGAGCGCCGTGTCGACAGCTTGTCACCTGCTGAAAAATATGAGCTGCCCAAGTCCGGGGCGGCTGCTGACAGTACAGATGGCTGCCACTGTCTACTGCCTTCCCCGACACCCCCACCGCCAGCCCCTTCCGCGGCGAGGGCTTGCTTATTCTAACCCAGACTCTCCCCAGACCCTCTCTGCCTTGCCTTTTCTGCTGGCTTTCCTAACTCATTCAGGGTCTTTGCCTCCTTATTGCAAGAGCGGGACAGGTCCTGAGCCCTGGTTTGATACACCTTTCCTCTCGAAGGCTTCTTTCTGCAGATTCACTCGGAGCCTCATAGGGAGCCAGCGCTGTATCAACAATGGGCAGTCAGATGTGAAGGTCATTTCTTACAGGGTTGTTTACACCAAGGTTTGGGCCGCAGTTAACACCTATCTCTTATCTCTGGGCCACTTGGCCAGTGTTCATGTCCTTGGAACCACTTTGAGACGGGTGTGTAAGGTGGGTCTGGTGTGGATTTATGAACTTTTGTGGTCGCGGTGTCTGTGTGTGCGCCACAGGTGCACACCTGTATGTCTGAGCATGGCTGATTCAGTTTTAGCTTCATGATAGGGAACGGGGCGGAGATGCTACTTCAGATTTGCCTGCTCTTTGAAAACACCCCTGGGCCTTTTCTGGAATCCGCCTCTGTATCCTCCTCTGTATCCTCCCCAGGCTCCTGGGATGGCTCATTCACATTTTCTTCACATTATCTCCACAGACTTCCCAGGTCCACCCTGAGAGTTAGTCTGGCCCTTCAGCCTCTAACACTGTCCCTCTTCTCTACCCCGGGTCTGCTGGTCCTTCCCCTCGTTTCTGATTTCCCAGCCTGACTATGTATGTAGACTGAGGTCTGGGAGACAGGATGGGAGTCAGGACAGGTCTCGGACTCTTTGGACATTTACTCAACAGGTATTTATGATTATCTGTGTGACGGATACCACGAAGTGTTACAAAACAACTAGAAACCAGAGGGAGGTATGGTGCTCAGACCTAAAATTCTAGAACCCAGGAGACTGTCGCAGGAGGATCTCCTCAAGTTTCAGTCCCGCCTGGGCTACAGAGCGAGACCCTGTCTCAACCCTCAACACATTCTCCCCACACAAAAAGGGAAGAGAGTGGACAGAAGATAGCTGCTCAGAAGAGAGCGGACTAGCCCTGTGTCTCCTACTCTGGTCTCTCAAATGAAGGGCCCTTTCATCTTCAGTCAGGTATTACAGTGCCCTCTGGCATTTCAAGACTCTCCTCCATACTCTTTTCAGGCATCAGTTTACACTCCGCCACTGCTCTGGTCTTCTGAATTTCCAGCTTTGGCTTTTACTCCCAAACCCCACACCACTGGGGTGTGATGCTTTCAATAGCCCTCCTTCCGGGTCACAAGGCCTTCTGTCCTGTGGCTGACATTTTCCGTTCTCTTCCTTTTCGGCACGCCTCTCTAGCCTGCCGTTTCAACCTCGATGCCCACTGTCTCTTGAGGTCACTTCCTCCCTGCTTCTGTCAGGACCCAGCAAGCCTCAGGCACTCACAAAGTAGTTTGTGACAATTGTCCTGAGCTAAGAATAGCTCCAGAGAAGCAAAGTCACTGCTAGAGACAGGAGTCCTCCAGATATGACTCCATCCAGACCCCGGTGCCACACGTGATACACAGGGGGCAAGTTGTTCCCGTACGGGTCTCAATATGGTAACACCAGCTGCCTCTGACATCATGGAGGAGGGACCCTGTCAGGTTGCCAAGGCAACGCAGCAATTTATGACATCAGAGGCTTGAAGTCTTTGGTTCTCAGGGGGCTGGGAAGATTCAAGTTCCTGTCATTTGAAGTAAATGGGAATCCTACTTTTTCATCTCTTTTTCTGTGTTCTCCTGGCTTGCTTGGCCATAAAATACAGAGTGACTGATGAGGCTGACGGGGTGAATGCTGGCGAGGGCCTCTTCTGTCGCTCTTGGTCGCTGTCATTTCTTTCCTCATAAGCATCTCTCTTTTAGGGCCCAGTGGTCGTCTGCCGAGCCATTTTCCCAAATTGCTCCCCCCCTGCTGTGCTCTCTCTTTGCCTGGGTCTCGCTGTGTCCTCCTCACACTGGAGGCATTTGTCTCCTTTGATACCCCACTCTCTCCTCTGTTCCCTTCCCAGGGCTCTGTGCAGCTCTGACCTGCTTCAGCACCCCTGCCTGCCTTCGACGACGACATTACCTTCTTTGTACCACCACAGTCTTTTCCACCTCATCTTCTTCCTTCATTCTTCCCTTCCCCCACCTTACCACCACACTAATTTCATGCTGCTATCATCATCTTTCTCTTTCCTCCTGGATGGCTATTAGCTCATATTTATTAATTAATTCTCTCAGTTTTTCATTAATCGCTCCTCAGGTCCTCCCCTTCTCCACTCATCCCGGACAGATTCTCATCGTTTCCTCTGGCCATGCATTTCTTTAACCCATGTGTTTACTGGATCTGTCCTCTCCTTCCTTCCACCGCCTGCCCATATCTACCTCATCTTTTTATCTCTTAAGCTCCCGGGGTCTGGAAAAATAATAATGGGTTTAAACCCACGATAAACTCTGCACGTCCTTTATTCACGATGATCATTCTTTAGGCGGAAGGAACATGGCCCTTGCATAAGATAGGTTTTCTGAGAATAATAAAACCTGCCTCATAAAGAAATGTTGCCAAATTCAAAGAGAATAATAGCAGGATCCCATGAGGAAAATGAACTCAAAAGTGAAGAAAAAGCCACCTGTATCTGGAATGAACTGAAGGATGGGGGCAGCCAGGCAGGGTGGAGCTAGAGAAACATCCCCTTACAAAATTAAAGTTGACAGTTAACTGACATAATGGAACTGACTGATGAAGGAGTTACATGCCCCTGGAAGCCCATTAAATTGATTTCTTGGCCTTTTTATGTGCCGTCACAAAACACAATCCCCATCTCTCACCCAGCCCTTGGCTTGTGGCATCTTCTGCTGCTAGGGTTAAAATGCTGGGTAACAGGATAAAGGATAAAAAAAACAAAAACAACAAACCAAAAACCCAACTTTGGTTGACCAAGGAGAGAAGGGAACAAAGATGGAGGCGGTGTAAGGGAGCTGACCAGCTAGAGGATACGAACACGGGGTGAAATGAACTGGTGGGGTAAAGAATGTATATACAATGGTAGAGTGGGGGAAGGGAGGGAAATTAAGTCAGCAAGGATGAGGTCTGTGGTGGAAAGCTCCTGGAAAGGCAGAGGACACGCTGGAGACCCAAGGCACATGGCATAGAGGTGATCAACAATGCCAGAAGTTCCAAGGCTTCCCTGCTGAAGGCGACCAGAAGGCTGTCCTGCCCATGCTGAAAGGGCACTAGAGTCATGGGGGTAGACACATCCGCTCCATCCCCCTACTTTCCAGGCCCCTGACCCTAGACTACCACAATCATGGCTGATAAGCAAACTCCAAAGTAGCTGAAAAGGCCACCGTTGTGCAGACAAGACCCTGAAGGAGAGCGGTGGATGGCCGAACCCGTCAGTCAGTCTAGGCGTGACACATAGGGACAGGGGTACGCGTCAGGATCACACTCCGATGAGAAGTGTCACAGTCAAGACAGTGACACACAGAACTGGATATGGATGGGGTGGGGAGCCAAGTGAAAAATGGCACAACCACAGATCAGTGGGGGCGCAGGCACAGTGAGAAGCGTGGTCCAGAGCTCAAAAAATGATGAGGGGCTTAGGAGAGCGGGTGGAGAGAGTCGGGGTGGCAGGAGAAGCAGGGCAGGCATGCTTCGCCGTGAATGGGGCTCCCCTCACCTACTTCAGGCAAAAATGAACATTAAAGGTATCCGCTCCCGCTTCCACCCCGCACCCCGGCGCGCTAGCCCATCCATCAGCCTTCCCGCCCGGGTTTCTCCCCCATCCCGCAGCCAGCTGAGCTCCTCTGCGCCGCAGGCCCCTCCCGGCTATAGCCTTGCACTCACCCAGCCTCCCATTCCCTCCAGGAACCCCGTTCCTGGCACAGCTCGGCGCGGTACGTCTAGGCTCTCGCCACCCTCTGTCTGTCCGGCTGGCCCATATCTTTCTCTTCTCCGTTTCTCCACCCCTGCCTCTCTTCCCCCATTCCGGCTCGCACGCCCTTTCTCCCCACACTCCTGTCCCCTTCTTCCCGGCTGTCTGTCCGTCCGCGTCCCCTCCCCCAGCCCCTTCCCGTCCCTCTCCGTTCCCTCCAGTAGCAGTCTCCCAGCGCCTCCTCTCTCCTCGATCTCGAGATTCGGAAGAGCGTAGAAGGGAAGGAGAGTGAGAGGCAGAGGAGAAAAAAAAAGAGAGAGAGAGAAAAAGAAAAAAAAAAAAAAACCCAACCCAGCAGCATCGGAAATCGATGCACTTACACCTCAGCTGGAAGCAGGGACGGGAGTCGAACCGCGGCCGCCAAGCAGCGCGAGGCGGGGAGGGGAGGGGGCGGCTCTTGGAAGGGACTTCTCCGATGTGTTGATTCCTTTTTTTGCCCCTCCTCCTCCCTCCCTTCAGCGCTCGCTCCGGGGCGTCGGGGACGGAGATGGAAAAATAAATAAATTCACGGCGGTGAGGGAAGTGAAAGAAAATAATCAATGCTATTTGGCTGCGGCTGAAGTGTTTTCCCGGCTTCGTGAGTGGGTTTCCATTGATTCACCCTGGGCACTGGCTTGCTCCCTGTCTCCTCCTCCTCCTCCTCCTCGCCCTCCTCCTTCTAGCCCTCACTCCTCCGCCTCATTCACTGGCTGGAGCCGAGGCGTCCCACACAATGGAATAATCAATACCCAGGCGCCCGGGGCAGCCCCACTGAGCAGGTGCAGCGACCCGCCCGCCGCAGTGCATGCCGGGAGCTGTAGTCTACAGGCCTCCGCCCTCCATAGACGGCTAGCGCCAAGTCTACCCGCGTCCCAGAACGCCCAGACCTGGGTAGGGGCTAGGATCTTAGGCCAGCCTTGCCATGCGGCTTCTTCCTTGACTCAGGCGCTGGGTCTACCCTATTCCTGCAAAAAAGGACAGGTCCCTTTAAACACTGGTCCCTCCTCTTTATCCCACTTACAGAAATCTTTAGTGTGTTTTGTTTTAAGTCACTATTAGAACAAGCTGTTTTCTGTAAGCTGCCCGCAGCCTTCGGATCAATGCTTTATATTCTAATTCCTGAGATTCTAAAACAGAGTCTACAGGAGTTCATCTTACAGTAGAGAAAACCAAGGTTTACCCGCTCAAGATGGCAAGGCCAATAAGCAATAGTACCATCATGCAAACCTCAGTGGCCTGACTCCAGAGCCCAAGCTAGCTGCTGTAGCATTATTTTTCTTAAAATGACAACAATAGCAAAAGCCCCTGAAATGAAGGGTGGGGAAGAAACCAGTACCTTGAGTTTCTGCCATGTATCAGTTGTGTTTGTTAATGAATCTTCAATCCTCATATCATTGTGAGGCAGAGCATTGAAAAAGCAGAGACTTGGGGCGGTGGAGTGGCGTGCAAGGGCGATGGTCTACAATGTGAACCAGTTGACTTTTGAGTCTTGCCAAAGAGTCCCATAAGGAACAGATGAGCTTTAGGCTAATGAGAGGAGTTGGGGTCTTTGGCTTTACTTTTCAGTCTTGCTGGCCCAGAGAACACTGACATTTTCTGTGTTCTCTAAGATACAACCCAGTAGACCAGAAACCCCAGTTTGTGTAATGCCGTCCCGTGTTTTAAATGCCATGCCTGTAAATCAGGGGCCTTCCCCAGAATGCGCCCCCCCCCCCCCGTTTCTAGAAACATAAGGGAGCAGGTGTTGTTCCTGTCACTTGTCATGGAAGCAGGTCTAGAGGTTGGCAGTGTCCTCCCTCAGAGGCACCGACAAAATTAAAGTCTACACTACAGTATTAGGTAAGGTTAAGGGTCCGTCTTTGGTTCCAAAAGCAGACAGAGGGTGACTCCTATGTCTTTCTGTGTTTATTTATTTTTACTTGTTTTGCTTGTTTTTGTGTTTTTCTTTTCCAGGATGGCCTGGAAATCAGTCTGTAGCTCGGGCTCACCTCAAGCTGTGATCCTCTTGCCTCTCGGCTGTCCCGGAGGCTGGGGTTACAGAAGTGTACCCGACAACTTCTCTGACTCCGGACAAAGCCAGCTCAAGGACTGCTGGAGATGGACAGCGTAGTCTGGCGCTCACTCACAGCCTTTTTCAACCTGCCCCTCAACTGTACTTCAAGCCACTGTCTGCTTAGATACTGACGAGGGGCTGTAGCTAGCTTTTGGGTCTTTACCCCGGCAGTTCCTTCCACCTAGGTCTCCAGCAGTCAAAGTCCCATCACATTCTCCTTTTCTTCTTCTTCTTCTTCTTCTTCTTCTTCTTCTTCTTCTTCTTCTTCTTCTTCTTC